TGGTTCAGCTTTGCCAGGTAAAAGGACTACTTTTCTTTGTGTCTGAATGCCAGAAAGAAACATAGAAACAGAGCGAGTCAGAAGGGGTCTTCCGGGCCATCTAGTCTGACCCCCGGCTCCAGCCGGCTCCACTCATGACATGCCCACCATGTACATGTCCAGCCTATCCCTGAACAGATGTCCCAGGTTTGCTTGTGGGCAAATGTTCTTTATCAAATGGAACTTACTTCCAAGTCAGTTTTTCTAGGATCATAACCTAAAGAAAAAACATTCACATGGACCCTCCAAAAGAAGCATGTGGCACAGTTCTTCCTGGACTCTACCACTTCAGGCTGGAGGTGGTGGAATACTACATTGGAATGCTCCCTCATGTTACATTCAAAAATTCAACTGCTTCGTATATAGAAAGCTAGCAAATTGGTGAAAAGGCTAAAAGCTAACACTGCTTCCTGGATAGGCTAGGTTGATTTTTAAGGATACATGCTGTTCCTTGCTTGCCTCAGGGGGAATATATTTCAGGTAAGACTTAAACTTTTCAGTGTTCAAAAAAATGTTTGAACCTGCTCTTGGTGTGTTTAACATGAGGAAGCATGCCGATAAAGCTGCAGCATAACAAACCGATTAAAAACACACCCAAAGTGGCCTCTAGACTTCCCAAAGTTGCCCACCCCTGTTTTATAGCATACATTGTGGCTTTTCTGCAGAGGTGTGGGGCAGGATACTTCCAGGAGGAAGCAGTATATAGCTTTTCTTCCTTTTTTCTGTTAAGAAAACAAGCGGGAAGAAATGCTAGGGGAAAATGGGAGGTCTGTCAATGGAAGACAACAACATCAGGACTCATCCATCAAGTTCTGTGAAAGAGGCAGGGTGATTGCACAAGTCAAGTCTTTTCTGGAAGCACTGCAAGGGGAGACACAGATCCTTGAGGCACTGCTGATGCCAGGAATGATGCGGGATTGGGCCGCTTTATGCTATGTATTACACACACAGAGAAAGAGAGAGAAATAACATTTAGTCTTGCTTCAATCCAGCACTGAAGCATGTTCAAGTGGATACCTTGAATTTCATACATTCTAGGCTGGATACAATGGGATTCATACAAAACTAAGCCCTGTATACTGTACACGTGCTCACACACCCTGTTTCATTTTTCTTAAGTTGCTCTTGGCGTCTGTTAGCTAGCTGCTATAGACGCTACCCTGTTTCATTAAGGGCCCTTTTTGGCAATCAGAAAATCAGACTGAACTGATCAAACGAACCAGCACTTTCTCCTCCAGTCTCAGCCAACCAACATTCAGGACAGGATCTGAGATGCACAGCGGCCATGTTTTGATGTAACGCCAAACCCCTATCCTAGACTTGGCGCCCTTCACATGTTTTGGACCATAAACCCCATCACCCCAGCCACTCTGGCAAACAGTGCCCATCCCATCCTCCAGCACCACTGTGAGGAGACTGGAAGCTTCGACTTCTGATGTAGCTTAATCATGGCTGAGTGCATTGTGCAAACTCCAAACCATGGTTGGTCTTAATGATGATCAGTTGAAACAAGCCAGCTTCATAAACTATAACTTCAGCTGGCTTTCTTCCCATCAACCATAGTTTTTGGGGGTTGGCTGATACAGCAAGCTCAGGTTAATTTCAAAATAAAGGAAAAGCTTCTGAACTCCTAGTCTAGTATGGTTTAGGGCTCCATCCAAACCGGCCCACTGTGAGGAAAAGCTGTTCATGTTTAGAGAGACCCTGAGTTTCCATGATGAGAGACACATAGGCATACCCATGTCAAGAAGAAGAAGGCAAAGCGGGAAAGCAGAATTTTGAATGCATGCGGGATATAAATGAAGGACATTTCCACACTACAAGTTCACGCAAGTGGAACAGCTACCCTCTCTCTCTCCCCAGGGAATTGTAATTTTGTGAAGGAAAAGCACAGGGCTTCTTAGCAAATGGCAAATTCGGGGATTCCTGGCACAAGGCCTAACCCTGCTTAGCAACGACTCAGGTTTAATCTGTAAATAGATGTTGTGCATGAATTTTCCAGAAGCAACATGTGAGCAAGGAAGCTGGACTCTGGGGCTGTTGGGGGGTTGGATCTGGCCCAGGCCTGAGGTTCTGCTTCAAAGCACTGTGGAGGTTTTGTGCATGTACAATGCCTGACTCCAACCCGGTAGCCTGCGGATGGTGCAAGGCTATGACTCTGATCAAGTTACGCACGCCAGGTGTGAAGGCATCCAAGACACCTGGGTGACACCAGGTCAGGGCTGGCTGCTTTCACATGTTCCCACAAGCACCAAAACAGGAAATATGAATGAGCTGCAATTCTGGTTTTCTTCCTGACTCCTGAAAAAGGTTTCCAAGCGCTGCCCAGGTACACCTCCTCTCCAGTGATCAAATTATACACGGGTGGGGCAGGCATTTTGGGCTAGACTCCCTCAGCTACAGTTTTTGGAAGGCTGGGGAGACATCCTTGTGTTAAGACGGCTTCCTGCCAAACGGGACCATTGAGCCCATTGTGGTGCTCAGAGCACACAAAAGCACCCTGAGAAAGCAGCTCTGCAACGAACAAGGGTGTCCCAGTCTCTGGCAGATTAAAGGCTTTATACCTGCAGAGGATCTTGTACTTGTTAATTTCCCTCCAGGTTGAATTGATGAGGTTCTGGGGAAACACATGGGGAAATTTGAAAATGCGTTGTGGGTGCTCTCACATAATGGCTGCCGTAGGAGGACTTTCCCATTCATAGAATGGCTGCCAAGGGAGGCCTGACACATCTCACTCGCCTTCCAGAAGGCAAACAGATGCAACAAAAAGTTCTTTACTTAAAAATCCAAAAGAACAGGGCAGAGGTGAGGCCTGAGCTTCAGCACAACACCGTGCCTTGCAGTCCAAATAAATACATTGCAGGAGGGCAGCCCTTGAAGTGGCAGCAAGCCAGCCTCCCACAAGGTTTTCAATTAAAATAATTCCTGAGAAATGAGATGAGATGAAACGCAGGAGATGCAGGGAGCCTGGTAGAAGAGAGGTTCTTTGTGAGCCAATTGATGTCTGTGGGCAGAATGCTGGAAACCCAAACTCTAGAACTCATGAAGAAACAGAAGCCTCAAGGTTGGCGGAGACACCTCAGACCTAAGCAGCAGGTCCAGGTGCAAAGCAGCTGCTTGAACTCTCAGGGGCAATGACTCTGGGCCTTTCTAGTGATTATCCTGGCATCTTTCTGAAACCCTGTTGGCTTTTCTGACTCTGTTGCCTCTCCTGTGCAGGACGTCCATGGAAAAACATGCAGTGAATGAAGAATAGGGCTCCAGATATTGTAGAAGGAGGGAGGGAGGGAGGGAGGGAAGAGCAAGCAGCATCCAAGGTGGTGATTCAGGAAGCTGCTGCTAAAAAAGAAGTTGCAATGATAAGTTGCAGGAAAGCGTCCCTCATCATGATGGACAGGCCTGCTTAGATACTGCAAGATTCTTGGGGGGCAGAAAGAGAGGCATGTTCAGTGTGACTCTTCGCACACAGAGACATGTTGCATCTGCACACACACACCACTTGCAGGATCCCTGTGAGGGAGGGCTGGTCCAACCAGCCCAAGAGCAGTGCACAGGCTTTGCTCATGCGGCAATGCCTGCGTTGGTTTCCTTTTTGTAATGGTTGCTTTTCACGGTGGCAAGCCAACGTGAAAGGGACGCAACCTGGAGAGGTCACTGTGTGGAGGGGGGATGCCTGCTCCGTGTCTCTGATGTCCTCAGGCACTGAGAATCAAAGAAGATGCCACCTGCCCGCCCACCCACCACTCAGATCTACTTCTTGGTCACGCCATCCAGTGTGATGCAATGCTGAGAATGGCTGTTCTTTCCACAGACCGGGTTCAGACAACACAAGCATCCACACTCGAGGGTTCAGTATGGGTGGAGCAGGGGCTGTTGTTGACCATACGTTGTTCTTGAAGCCCTAATCCAACCAGAATAACGACCCATGATGAACGTTCACAGCCCAGCAACAAACATGGGTTCTCTTCATGAGTTGTTCATGGTTAATAAGCCACGATCGGTTGGCACATCTGGGTTTGGACAACATAAAAACTCACAATTTAACCGCAACCCCACAGGTCAATGAAAACCTGCACTCAGCCTGAGTGTGCGCTATTGTGTTGTCTGAAGCCAGTCACAAGCAACAACTTCCCCAGGGGCTGTTGTATAAGTCTGATTCAACAACAGTTGCCTTGAAGACTGTCGGATGTATTACGGCATAAGGTTCTGTGGTCCGGAGTCCACTCCCACTGACAGGTGCCTGACATGTTTTTCTTAGCTGATAGATAGGCAGCTATTTGTACAGCAAAGTTAAGAAGATTGTGTCCATTCCAGTGACTGCCACGGTGAAGATGACCCACGTGGCTATCAGGATGAATTTAAGCTTTGCAAAGCGGTGTCAGGGGCAGTACTTCTTGCATGTCACGGCCATTTGGTTCCCAATTTTCTCAATGTTTCCCCATCTCTCTCTCTCTACATATATATGCACCGACTGATGAAAAACATATTTCAGGCATTATATTCAAGGCTCATGCCACGATTAGCCTGTAAGTTGCCACGAGGTACTGGGTTGAATCTAGCCTTAGTCAAAGTTCTTGCTGAAATCAGTGGGACTTAAGTCATGACTCACTGATTCCTGTGGATCTACTCTAGCTGTGACCAAGTCTGGATCCAACCCACTGGGCTGTATCCAATGCCAATCCTACATTAGGCTGATTTAAAGGAACAGGAAGTCCCATGTAACACTTTTCCCACTCATTCTGATTGGTCTACTCTGAGTAGGGCCATATTGTGTGCAAACCGGTGAAATTCCTGACATATTTTCAGTGATAACTCTTTCTCCGAGGGTTGCTTGTGACACATTCGAAATTCCCGCTAATCCAGACGCCACAAATGAATTATTTTTCTACCAACATTTTGGAATTCTTCAGTGAAGAATTCTGTGCCACCAAGCAGAGGACTTCTCTTCGCAACAAATGAACTTTGAGGAACAGGTTGGTTTTTTAATAACTCAAAATGAGGCAGGCACTAAAATATATAATGTGGGACTATGAAGCAGCATGCATCATTTTGCACTTGATTCTGTCGGCAGTGAGCATTTTCCAGGATGCTGCTGCTGTGGGCTGTGGATTGTTCACTGGCACAGATCACAATGGGGTGGCCCCAAGTTGACATGATGCATGAAGTGCGGGGATCAAGGCAAAGCATTAGCCCTTACATGCCTCCTGGCTAAAAGCCCACATGCAGAATATCCCTGGGGTGCTACCTCCCATTAAACTAGGAACTTCTGGGCGGGGGGGGGGGGGGACTTCAGGAAGCGGAAGAAATCTACAGCTACTCCCAGCCATAATTTAGTCTTAAGGCTTTGCATTCTTCCATTAAATGGGATAAGGGTAGATACATCGTTGAAGAACCCTAACTCTGTCTAGAAACAGGCCTATTATTTTAAGTCTTGTGTTCACAAAGAGCTCCAAAGTGTCCCCCTACTGGGCATAGGGAATTATTCTGTTCTTTGAACAGACTCTGTTCTTTGTACAATAAGGCCTTTAAAATACAATTCGCTCCGGAATTCAGCAAGCACTACATTACCATTTGATTCTAATCCCTTTCAGTCTGGGAAGAGAACTCTGTAGAAGTAGGAGCGCTTCTAGAGAGGTAACTAGGTTTGACTCCAATCATTGGGCAAGGCTAGATTTCTAGTGGATGGGTTGTGTGGAGATGATCGCAATGATGTATCCACCCAGCCTCATGTTTGCAAGTGCTAGCCCCTTCAGAGAATGCAAGGAGCATTTCAGACGTTTCCGGGCCAGTGTCAAAATGGCAGAGGCTCATGAATAAGCTTTTGAGGAATCTTTGGATGAGGACTGGGCACCATCTTGAATTGAGATCTTTTGCAAGGGACTCTTTGCTTGAACAGGCCTAACGCGCTATTCAGGCTTCGCTACCTGAGTGACCACCTAGCTACCCCTTTATGAGTTTTGTGGCCAAAACAAAAAGAAAACAGAGCCAAAACTATAAATGAAGAGGTCACGATAGCCATACATTGTATCCTACAAGTACTGCAAGGATCACATGCCAAAGGAACGGAATAGTTTGAAGCTAGCTTTGTTGCAGAGTGGAAATGGGAACAGGCTGACCCTGAAAAGGGGGGAAAAGGAGACAGAAAGGGAGGGAGAGGAAGAGGTATTCTGCCCCTCTTGTGACTGGGGAAGGTGCTGTTAGGCCCAAGTCCGGCACCAATCCATTGATAGCCCTGTCGAAAAACATGTGTGTTGTGGGCCCTTTTTCCACCCTGAAAATTATAATCAAGCTTCCTTCCTAAGAGCAGATATGTGGGGCTCATCCCACAGGGAACGCATGTGCTCTACACTTAAGACATTTTCCCCTTAAGCAGGGGTCATCCCCCTCCCCACCCCCCAGTAAAAACCAGAAAAGGTCTGGCCACGGCCAGCAAATCAAGGAAAACGATAAAACCCCCACAGAGCACGGGCTCACCCTGACTGTCAGGCTGAGGAGTGGTGGACTATTAGGCTATAGTGCTGGGAGATGAAGCCTTCTCCACATCTATTCATGGGCGGTCTTTAGGGCCCTGGATTGTCCCGTCCACTGCAAACTCAGTCATAACCCTGCGAGCCAAGGGGTTAGTGGTCTTCAGAAGTTCGGCTGCAGAGGTGCGGATCCCCGAGGTCCCTTTGCCGCCTTTCTTCTGGAGGAGGGCCTTAAAGTCTTCGTTCCTGCTGGAGGCTCTCGTGCTACCTGGAGGGCACTCGTTGCTCAGGGGTCCCATGTTGTTCTTCAAGGGCACCTGGGAACTCTGCCTGCTGCTGAAGGCGTCACTGGGCTCCTTCCAGCCCAATAGCTTCCGCTTGGACCTGGGAACACAGAATCATCAGAAAGCCATTTCGAACGAGGGAGGGAGGCAACAGGCATGCACAATCCAAGCTAGCACAGAGGGGCCCAGAAAGAAATTGCTGGTGGTTTTCATGCAATTCCCCCGTGTGTGGTGGGTGTCTGTGGACAGCAGGACCCAGTGTTCAGCTGTCAGCCAATTCCTTTGATGTCGGTTGCAAGCAGAAGTGCAATCGACCTTCTGCACCTGCCGGGCTACACAGCTTTTCCCGGTGTGGCCATTCTGGGATGGTTCATCCACGCTGGCGGGTGGGTTGAGGCCAGGTTATCTGAAGGAGCATCTCTTCCCATATGTTCCTACCTGGACCGTGAAGTCATCATCTGAGGTCCTTCTCAGAGAGCCCCCTCTAAAGGAAACAAAAAGGGTGGCAACTAGGAGAAGGGCCTTTTTGGTTGTGGCACCCCAGTTATGGAATCAGCTCCCCAAAGAGGTGTGCCTGGAGCCTACTCTTTATTCCTTCCAGTGCAAGGTAAAACCCTTTTTATTTACCAAGCATTTTAATAGTTAATTATTGTCATTGTTTATACTGTATTTTATTGAATTTTGTTGCTGCTGTACCTCCAGACCAATTTGAGCGTGGTTGGTGCAGGTCCACCACTGCTACTTTATTGAAATATTATTCATGTTTGATTTTATTGTTGTTGGTATTCTATTTTGTGATTATTGTATATTTTAACATTGCGAACTGCCCAGAGAGCCCATTTTTAGCGAGGGAGCAGTATAGAATGAAACAAACAACTAAATACCCAAACATAGCAAGTGAGTGGGGACAATTCATTTGAGCAGTGAAATACAGCAACAATTTTTAACACGATCCCCCCCCCCCCCGCCCCAGTCTTCTTATAATCATTATTTTACTCATGCAAAGTGCTTATTATGTAAGTGCTGTTTGCTGGTTCCTTTCAAGACAGACACTTTTTTTACGGTTAGGAAGTATGTTAAGGTAATTGGAAAAATACCAAAACGACTCCCCGACCCATGCACACACATGACCCATGTTCCAAAAATGACAACTGAAAAGACACGTTTTTTAAAAAATCCTTTAAAAATAGCACTGAAACACTGGCTCCCCAACCAGGCTGCACAGTCAGCTCTTCACAGGGTGCCGCAGAACAGAAGCCTAAGTATGGCAAGGTACTCCAAGGCAAGTGTGTCAGAGCTGGTTGATCAAATCTCCAAAAGGCTGGTGGGTGGGAGAGAAGTGCTTCTCAAGGCTGCCTGAGAGAGAGTGGCAGTGATCAGAGAGGCTGGGGAGGAGCAGGGTGTCCGCTGGAACAGGCTTCAGTCTGGCTATAGTGGCTATCTCAGTAGCCCTCCTGGCAAATTAGTCACAAATGGGTGGTCATGGACTCCTTGAGCATCAGTCACTGGACTCATGGGTTGCAGACTCAAAGGGGTAGTGAAACTGAGGAATGAACGAGACCGGCATGTCCCCTGCTTCTGAGGCTTTGCATTATCCTGAGGACTGACATTCAGAGGGGTCGTGGGCAACCCTGCTTCAGGAGTCCTCCCTGGCACCTTTCTAGCCAGAAGATGCAACACTCCCATCCTGGCAGCTGCATCTCTCCCTCAACCACACAGGAGTGGGAAAAGGCCCTTTAAGAATGACGGTCCTTCCTGAGGCAACAGCTCCTTATGGGAGGCAGTGTGTTACCCAAGGTCCTGGTGTTCCCTGAACAACTGGTGAGGCCCCTTGCTGCAGTCTGTTTCTCTGGAGCCACGTGCCTTGTCAGGACGGAGATCGAGACAGACTAGGGTGAGGCCAGAGAGGTGGGGTGAGCAAACAGCGTCATGCCCCGAGAGGGACCATCCACAGCCCCGACCCAACACCTGGAGGAAACCCCCACCTGTGAATGACAGTAAATAAGTCCTCGGTGGTGCGGGACGCTGCCACAAACACATCATCGTCCTCCTCGATGATTGAGGCCGCGGTTTTGTCACTTGCAAAGCTTTTCTCTTCAGCCCTCAAGTCAATAGAATTCCCTGAGGAAAAGAACGTGAGAATGACGACGAGGCAGGCCGCCTTGTGCTGGGGAGATGCAAGGAAGGTGGTATCGGGAAGATGCTGTGCACACACAGGCCGAATGCTCAGATGGCACACAAGGAAGTTGGTTCTGTTCCTCCACCACCCACCCAGAGTTTTAAATGAACCCACCACTGCATTCACTGGAGGACATTTCATTCGTTGCTCTTCCGCTTCTGCTGCTCCCTTGATGTTGTCCAGGGTAAATGCTTATTAAGGGCTGTTTGCTTAATGCAAAACCAGAGGTTGTACACCAGGATCGCCTGGTAGCACTAACTTGACTAAAGAGATGGATTAGAGGAGCTTTGGAGGAGGAGGAAGTGGTGCTCCAGAAGAGGACAGCTAAGCTTTTCCTTCCCTGTTTTTTCCTAAATCCAAGCCACTTCCCCACTCACAAAGCTGCTATCAGGACTGCAGTACTGAGAAGAGAGCGAAAGAAGGACGTAGCAGCTGCCTTGCCTTCTGTGCCGGCCCCCAGTGCAGCTGATCACAGAAGGGGGATGCAACTGAGGTCGTGGGAAAGGCAAGAAAGGAACGGGTCCAAGCACCCTCTCCCAGAGTTATACTCCCCTTCTCTTCACAGCATCTCCAGCTCGACTCTCAAACAAAGTTGGTTCTCTCTCAGGAAAGGCAGGTGGGTGCAAAGGCAAGCTGCGTGGCAAATACCAGATCACCTCTCGACCCTGGTTTTTTGAACCGTGGGTGGGGAGGCCTGTGGAGAACTGCAGTAGGAGCCTCCCTGCAGAGGACCAGGCCGATGCCTCCCTTTGAAAGGGCTCCAAAATGGAGCATGAGACCAAGGCATTGTGGGCAAGGCGCCCTGCAGACTGCCCAGGCCACGGAGGTACAGGCGGCCTCGGTGGCCATGTCCACGAGGTCTCCCTCCGAGGAGGGGTGAAGGGGGCAGCAGCACTGGGGGAGGCAGAGTGACGTGCATCCTTCTGCCTCGGGCAGTGGGACACCCTGAGCCGTTCCTCCCAGCCCAGCTAAGAAATCTGTTGGTGCCTCTACATGGACGAGGGTCTACGGGCGGTTAGAATTCACTTATTATTACACTGATAGCCTGCCTTTTCCCCACTTGCAAGATTCCTGGGTGGCTTATAGCACCCTCCTCTGGCTCTCCCTGTCATCCTCACGACAACCCATCAGGTAGGTGCGCTCGAGAGTCACAGAATGGCCCAGAGTCACTCAGCCTTGTGGCTGAGCGGGGACTAGAACCCGGGTCTCCTGAGTCCCAGTCCAACACCCTGGCTACTACGCCACACTGGGGAAAAGGAAGGGGAGGGTGTGGAAATGCTGGGGGAAGGTGGGGAGGGTGGGGAGTGGGTGGGCAACAGCTTGAGAAGGAGCTGGTGAGAGACAAGTGGGTGGAAGAGAAGGAAGCACACGATGAGGACACTGAGGAGGAAAGAGGAATGGATGGTGAGCAGAAGACACCTGCGGAGCGGAAAGGCGGAGGGGCTGGCGGCCGGCCTCCACAGGCAGGTCGCGGGCACTGTTGCCACGTCCTTGAAAGCACCTGCTCTCCTCTCGGAGGTTTCGTTCTTGGCTTCACATCGATAGTTTCTGCTCACTGTTTTAATGTGCAGCCGTGAAGCAGCAGGCGGAGGGGAATGCACGGTTCATCTGACATTGCCAGACAGTCCCAGCTTCCCCAGCCACCAGCAATGCCAGAGGGGGCTGATGGGAATTGGAATCCAGCAGCATCTGAAGAGGCACAAGTGACCTACCTCTGGCATAAAGCAAGGCTGTCGAAGCACCCATCAGACTGAAGATGGGTTGCCAACCTGCTTTTTCTGATCGGTAATTCAGCATCGAATGATCTATTTCAAGGCAGACGATGTAATGCAATGACAGAATATCAGACCGAGAAGACATGGGTTCGAGTCCCCACTCAGTCAGTCAGCTCACCAGATGATTCTGGGGTAGTCACACTGGGATAAAATTTTATTAAAATTTTAAAATTGTGAGCATAAAATGGGGTGGGGGAACCACCCGTGCCACTTTTAGTACCTTGGAGAAGGGCAGGGGATAAATGGAATGCATAAAAAATGCACCTGTATCTCCAGGCAGGGAGACGAGACTTTTATAAATGGCATTCTATGTAATTTTCAGAGATTTAGTCAGACCATTAGTTGGCTTTAGGGAACTGAAGGCTGCCATTTTGAGATAGAAAAAAGCACCCAAGGACCAGTGTTCCCTAGCCTGGTGCCCTCCACTTATGTTTGACTACAGTTCCCAGCTGGCATGACCATTCCCCCTACGGAGTAGGGTTTGTCCAGCCCTACTTGTTGGGGAGGATGGGAGTCATAGTCCAACACATCTGCAGGACATCAGCTGGGGCTAGGTTGTCCAAGACTCTCCCTCCTTCAGCAGGGAAACAGCCCTGGGTAGGCTCAGTGAATGCCACATTAATGTAAGATTTCAGGCATGTCAAGCACAAGAGAGCTTTTCCTTTTCAGTGCGGCACCCTCCGGATGTTTTGAAGTGCAACTCCTACCATGCTCCCCAGCCAGTGTGGCCAACGGTCAGCAATGACTGGAGCTGTGGTGCAAAGCAACTGGAGGGGTCGTCCGGGGTCGTCTGATCTACTGCTTTTGGTTCCTTGCCCAAGCAACCCACACATGTTAATCACAGTTTTCCAGTCTGAGCAACAACAGCCACAAACCCCGCAGAGATGCAATTATGACACATTTCCTCCCTGCAGAGGGAGGGGCTGCAGTTGACTGGCACAGCACACCTGCGGCAGACAAAAGGCTCCACACCCAGCATGCATCACCAAAAGGAGGATCGGGCTGCAGAGAGAGAGCCTTGGCTGCTGCTGGGACAGGGCAGCTGCTTCCAGGGATGCCGCAGCACCTGTGTCAGCAGTGCCCTTTATCCATCGCCGTGTTTATTCTGAGGTTTCGTGGAGTGATTCATGGTGCTCCATCGTGGCAAAGCCTTTGAGAGTGGAATTCAGCCCCATGAGTAGCTTCTCAAAAACTCAGAATTAAGCCTGCAAGGGACAAGCAGCCCTGCTGACACGAAGGACTCCCTGGAGAAATGGACAGTCAGGCTGGGCTGGTGTGAGGCGGGTGTGAGGCCGACATAGGCTGGGTTCACGCAACCCACTGCTCCTAATCCTGGGACTGAATCTGGCACTGCAGCAAGCAAAGCAGCTCTCTCCACAACCATCTCAGAGCAGAGCCGCCCCCGCAAAAGGGCGGTTGCTCCACTTACCTGAAATGTCTCCCCAGGAGTCGCAGGCCCTGGCCGGGCTGAAGTCTGCCTCGTTGGCCACCGGGGAGGGCACCTTGCAGGCAGCCAGCTTGGGGTGGGCCAGGTCCTCATCGAGCATCACAGCTGGGCTGGCAGCCGCCCTCGGGTCCCCGAGGCAAGCCCCTGCGTGGAGCGGGGGGGCCACCAGTGGCAGGTAAAGCACGCTGGGCTTCTTGGGGACCGGGGGAGGCACTTTGGTCTTGCGACTCTCCCCCCCGGGGGACCTCCCTGCCAGCAGTTTTGCCTGCATTGCTTCATCCTCCCCCAAACTGTCTTCGGAGAGCCGCCGCGAGGCAGGGAAAAAGGAGCCAGGGGGCGCGGACGAGGGGGGGACCACTCCCATGGGAGAGGGTGGCTCTGTGGGACTCCAAACATCCGTGTCCCAGGGGTGCTCGGGCCTCCTGGCCACCAGGTAAAGGTTCTCCATGGGGACCAAGTCCTGAGGTGTCCGTGGAGAGGATGGGGAGCTGACCGGGGACTCCTCCTGCACTGGCGGGGTCTTGTGCAGGAGCATCGGAGGCCGGCGGGACAGAGGTGGCTTCTCAGCCACCGGTGGCCGAATCTTCTTGCCAGGCTCCTCCGCTGGCTCGGGGCTGTCCAGGTTATCCTCGGTCTCCGAGCGGCTGACCGAGCGCAGGCGGACGGAGCGCAGGTCCAGCTGGGTGACCATGGGCATGACGGGCTGCACTGGACTCAGCTTGGGGCCCAGCTTGGTCCCGAAGGTGGATTCTGACTGGTGCCGGCTCACCTTGGCCCTGCCCTTGAGCGAGATCTTGAGTCCCGAGAGGTCCAGGTGCGTCGGCGGGGCGAACGGAAGGTCCAGCGACAGCCGCGACTTGGGGCTGCGCTCCATGGGCAGGACGGGCGGCAGCGAGGACTTCCTCTCCGGCACGAGCGGCCTCGCCCTCCCGCCCTGGGCAGGGGCATGCCCCAGGACAGCCGCCGTCGGGATGGTGGGTGTGGGGGTCTCGGACTGGCTGGAGTAGCCGCTGGAGGGGGACATCACCCCCGTCGGTCTTCCCGGGGAGCAGGTTTTCAGACTGACCTCTGCGGAGAGCTGGGATGGTGTGGTTGCCCGGGAGACGGAGGGCGACGGGAGGGACTCAGAGCTCCCGCGCACCTTGGACAGCTCGATCACCGTCGTCCCGGTGGCAGTGCTGGAACCAGACAGGGAGCAATAGGGGTCGCCAGAACCCCACTCGGGCAGGTACCACTGCTGTGCGTAGGGGGCGCTCTCCCCCTGCCTGGCCGCCTCTCCGTGTGCCATGCCATGGGCGGGGGTGTCTGGCAGCAAGCACAGGCTTTTGGGCCTCTGGTCCTGAGGCAGTGGCTCGGCAGCAGGCTCCACGCGGCTTGGCGGCCCCTCCTTGATCAGGGAGACGCTGCGGGCGGGCGGGCAGGGCTTCTTCTTGGCCTTCTTGAGTGAGATGCTCTTGGTGCGCTGCCGCCGCGGCTGCTGCGCCCGGGACTCCTGCTCCACAGCCAGGGAGACGTTGTCTGTGCTGGTGCTGCCCTCGGAGCTGGCGCTGGGGTAGCTCAGGCCGCAGGTCTCGCTGCCCGCAATGTCCACGGAGCACAGGGAGGCCGTGTCCGTGGGGACGGAGAGCGACCTCTCACGGAACCTGCCTGCCACTCTGTCCCTCTCCAGCTGAGGACACGCCTCTTCCCCCGGACTGGTCAGGGCCAGGTGCGGCTTGGCCTCCCTCGCAGCGCATCTCGGCCCTCCATCAGCCTCTGCCAGGGACTCGGGGGCAGCACCGAAGGCCTCGGCTCCATTCTTTCCAGCCGCTTTGTCCTTGCTGATGAAAAAGGAGGCGGGGGACCCCGAGTCTGGGGGGCCACTGGGGCTGCAGGGGGACAACTGCGTCACGGCCTCCCCCGCCAGCTCGCTCTGGCTCACCGCCGGACTCACGTAGCCGAAAGAGGCTGCGCTCCAGGCAGGGGAGAAGATCAGGTCCTCCTTGGGGCCATTGCAGGATGGGCTGGCGTACATCACCCCAGAGTTCTCCAGGCGCCCTGCTGGCCCGGCCTGGCAGCAGCGGCCCTGCAGGACGCCCCCAAGGTCACTGAACGTCTTTCTCAGCTGTGGGCGAGGCTGCGGAGACTGAGCATGGCGGGTGGAGCTCCTCCCGTTAGACACCTCGGGGACGAAATGGCAAGAGACGGACTCCGCGACGGTTGCCGGAGGGTTGAGAACGGGACCATTGCTGTTGGCTGGAAGAGAGATGAGAAGACAGGCATGGAGCAGCATGCAGTAGACCCCACGGGGGCTCAGGGGAGTGATTCACTGGTCTGCAGCAGGGGAAGAGACTCTTCCGGCCCTCTGGAGCCCAGTCCTTTCTGCGTCCCTGGCCGGCCCCGCACTTCTGCCCTGGACACACACCCTTTCCTGCTCGGCCATTCCCCTGCTGTCGTGCCATGTTCTTTCCATTTTAAAGGGCCAAAATGCCTCGCCCAAGGCTTATTTCCTGGCAGGAAGAGCAGCGGGCTACGGTGGTCCCACCTCCTCCTGCAGCAGGCTGCCCCCTTTTCTCTTTGGCCCACCCACCACTCAAGTGCTGCCCCCAAGGACTCCCTGGAAGCTGAATGAGGCTTCTGACTGAAGCTGCTCTCTGAGGCCTTGGGCCCTTCCTTGGACATCCTTTCGACCAGAGGCGATGGAGATCCAGTCTGGGCCATCGAAGCAGGTGCTCTGCTGTGGAGCTCCGGCCCATTCTGCAGCTCCGTCAACAGAAGTATCATCCATTGATCCACTCTTAGACACAGACTTTTCCCAGTAGATCACAATTAAGTTGTGTCTCTATTGCTTCGGTATCTGGAATAGCCTTCTATTTCCCAAGCCTTTCTCAATGGGTGGTTTCTCTTGCCTTCCTCTTAGCTTTGTTCCTCGTGCCTGGCAAGAATGGCCTGCTACTGATGGTCCCTCAACATGCTTTGGGGCAGCCTGCGGGCCCCACACACCCACAGGGTGACACTTGAATCGCCACGACTCCTTGCCCTGCGAGCACTTCTCCAGCCCAGCTCTGTGCGCCTCAGAACCCACACAGAGTTTCTGCTAGCACGCCCAGAGTAAACCTCCTCCCTTCAGACGCCACCCTTGCCACCTGCCTGGATCACATGGGCACAAGCCATCCTTCGACGACAGCTCCTAAGCCCCCCTGATCAAAGCCCCATTGCTTCTGTGGCAAGGAAGGGCAGCCCCACTGGGCTCACCTTGATCCCGCAGGGCGAGGTGAGGAAAGCCGATGACCGTCCGCCTCCGGCGCAGCAAAGACTTGGGGTTCATGGCGGTCTCGGTGTTGAAGAGGGAGTGGCGGGTGCTCGCGTGCCGAGCGAACGGCTGCCCTGTAGCCAAGACAAAAGGCACTCCACAGTCTGGGCGGATGGTAGGAACGCCCAAGGGACATTTGTGACGAGGGGGCAGCTCCAATTTTATGGGGAAATGGTGGTTTGGTTGTGGGAAAGACAGGAAGTCGGATAATTGAGGAAGGGACTTTAGACTTCACCCTGTCTAGTTTCCAGGGTTGTCTACATACAGAGGATGAGGAGGCTTGGTGGATGAAGATGGCAGAAACAGTGGGGACCACGACAGAGATATCCATCCACTGGAATAACACAGAGATTGCTCCATGAGCAAGCACGGACAAAGACTGATGAGTAGATGGAACTGTGGTGTCAGGGTGTACCCTGTGTGTGTGTGTGTGTGTGTGTGTGTGTGTGTGTGTGTGTAAATGGCACATTGTAACAAATGAACAGCAGCCACTGCTCACTATCCTTGTGAATCAGTGAGCGCCATGTGCTATGAGAACTGAGGCGACAAGAAAGCAGATGTACTTGTTGATTTGGATTCATTAGATGCTGATGAAATCAGGCTCAGAGAATGCCATAAGCACATGCAATTAAGATACGGAGGCTGAGATGTCTGAGAAGGTGCCTGGTGAGGCGAACGGCACCTGCCAGTTCACATGTGTCCCAAGGAAAACCCCTTCAACCACGGCCCCGTGTCCTCCAGCTTGGCTTGGCTTCACACACACAACTTTCTTCCTGGCTGTCCTGCGATTTTCCTTGTACATCAGCCGACCTCCTTATGCCACTATCTGATTTTCCAGCAGCCCTTCATCTCCTCCCCCTCCCCCCCACCTACAGAGAGAGGGAGAGGGAGAGGGACAGTCACACCTACCAGAGATGTTGATGGGGACAATGTTGGCTTGCGTTAAGCAGGGCTGGTGCAACCTCTTCTCATCCAAGGACGGCAGAGGACCAGCTCGGGCCCAGGCTGCGTTTTTGTCTGGGGTAGCAGGCAAACTAAGCGAGGGTTCTGGCGCTCTCACGCCCAGTGTGGTCATCTCATTCTCTTTCACTTGCTGGCTTGAAGGCTGTCAGGAAGCAAAAGGGTTGCAGGAAGGAGAATTAATGAAACTGTGTGCGTATGTTAAGAGGCTCTGAGGTCTGAAGGGAGGGCTGTGCTCACTGCAAGTCCTCCTTCCACAGGCTCTCTATCACTGCCTTGATCTTTTTCTGTCCACGCCTTCCCAAGCACACACTTATCATTCCTGCATTTTAACGTCCTACAGTGTCCTAGAATGATGCTACCTGAGGGGCATTCTGGGAAATTAACATGGCAGCTGCCACTACCTAGAACACTGTCAGAACACTTTCATTTCCCTTGCAGAATCAGGTGAAGCGGTTGCAGAATCAGTGCAGAATTCTGCAACCCTTGCAGAATCAGTGGTTGAAGCTGACCACATTACACATCATGGTCACCCTCATAAGGCTTCAGTTGGCTCTAGCTTGCTGCTGAGACAACATCTTCCTATGTTTCTAATACGAGTGAATGACAATCAGCAAAGCTGAGCCTGAGCTAACTGTGGTCCTCTTGCAGCTGCCCATTATAGAAGAGGGAATCTGCCTTTACCAAGCTTGTAGTACTTGATCCATTTCCCTTAACCAAACTCTGCCTTTCTAGCACAAGCTTGACTCTTCACAGATCGGAACTCATTGCTCAGGTAAAACTTAGCTTCCCCTGTGAGCCTCAAGTAACCAGAGAACTGTCACATGGCTCTTAGTCAAGCCAGGATCTTGTGGCCACTGCATTACCAGGGCCACTGGTCAAAAGAAGAGACTTCAGACAGCACAGACTGGGATTCTAACATCAAAGGCCAAACCCCCTTTTGGTCCAGGAAGTCAGGTAGTCTTGGAGAGACAATCCCATGCCATGCCTGACTATAACGTCCCAAGACTTGCTGTGCTCCTGCAGTCTGGGCAACTGGCTGCTAAATAAGTCATCATCCTCTATACTTCTGGATCTGTCTGCCTGCTTTCCTTTCTCCTCTGGGCACAGGGTTAGCGTTAGGGGCAGTGTGGAACTTGCCAACATTTGACCTGCATTCTGGCAGGCATCACATCGAAAGAGAGTATTACCCAAGTGGATCCAGACTTACCATGAACACAAACTCCAGGCGTTTGGCAGATGGGGGTCGGGGGCTGCAGTCCAGGGGTCTGTCTGCAGAGAGAGGGCTGGCATAGCGGAAGGTCTGACCACTGGCCCTGGCGTCAGAGTAAGGCTCCTCATATTCTTCTGGAAGGAAGGAAAATAAAGCATTCCACTTGCACCTACAACTATCTTCAGACAAGTATGAATACTCCTTAACATAAAGTTACAGGGTCCTTGGACGTTTGCAAATGTGCACACAGACTTTCGGAAACTACCTTTCTAAACTTTGAATGACAAAATGTCGGCCCCTTTTCATCTCTGGCCTCCAAACCACAGGCCTTCCCAGAGGCTACGGTATAAACCAAGAAGTGATGGAAGTACACCACCTGCCAAAGAGACTAACCAGCTAGCCGAAGAGACCAGCGCAGTGGGGGCCTCACTCTGCCCCTGATCTTCCCCCAAGTACCTTGAAGCAAACTCTGAAGATTAAGCTCAGCTTCATGGTGGAGCTCTTCCACACCGACTGGCCGGGCCAGGAATACGTTGACAGGCTGGTGCCATAGCAGCTTGGGAGGGGTGGGCTTCTTGACATCCAAATCTAAGTTAGAGGTGGCTGGAGAGGAAACACAGAGAAAGAGTCAAGCACCATCTAACCTGGTTCTGGTGGGGTAACTCATGGGGATTCTGGAGGCGCAAAGAGGCCTTTGGGCTTTTTCACATCACATATTCATCCATTTGTGATACTAATATAGCACTGGCCAAAATAAAATCTCTCAGCAGTTCACGTATAAATATTAAAAGCATGTTCGAAACACAATGCTAAAAACAATTCCAGCAATAATAGAGCAATACAAGGAGCGGCAAAATGGAGCAGTGTGATTCACTGAATTGCCAGCCAAGGCAAGCCTGGCTGAGCAACTGCATTTTCAGGAGGTGTTTGAGACATGTGACATTTTCTGTGTCCTGAGCTGCATGGGAGAGGAATTTTCCAAAGGGTGGGCGCCACATGCACTCAAACCAGTTTCGAACCGGTTTTGCTGTTGCAGCTCCTAAGCAAGGGACTTTCAGAACAGTGGATCTGAGCAAAGTAGCACATAATCCCCTCATCCCAGGACAGCTCCTTAAGCAGTGTGGCTTTTTTGGAAAAGCTTGGAATCTCACTGCCTTCAGGGACAGACGGCTTGCAGCCCTTCAGACATTGTGGGGCTGCATCTTCCCAGATCTCCCTCCATTTTCAGGGCTTGCTAGGGCAGGGGGACCTCTAGGCCAAAACATTTGGAGGATCACAAGTGCCCCCTCCTGCTTTCAGGTGAGATCAGGGTTTATTTGAATTCTATTTAGTAAAGAATAGAATTATCTGATCATAGCTTATCATTACACTTTCATTGCACTGGGGGTGTGCCAGTGCACCTTTCCTCAAAGAGCTCAAGGGGGGAAAGAGGTGTGGACTGAAAGCACTTATCTAGGGCTGAGACAACAGTCAATACCCATCCAGAAACCCCTTGTGGCAGGTGAGATAACCTCAGGATCAACCAGAGGAGCAGGGTGGGGGTTGGGGTGGGAGCAGTCTGGGCTGAAGAGGAGCGAAGGGAAGGGAGGCAGGAGGGTGTGTGGGAGGGCAGCCCTTCCTTCTGCACAAGGCACACACGGAAGCAGCATCCTCGAGGGGAAGAGGCTCCCACCTGGCTGGCTGGGAGCCCCAGCACCGCACCCCTCTGGAAGCAGGAGGCTTTCTCCCCAGCCCCGCTTGTGGGGCATGCAGCCTCGGCCTCACAGCCAGCAGCCCCTCTGTGGGCATATTCCTTCCTGCACTCTCACCTGTAGCCAGCAGGTGGCATAATTAGCTGCTGAAAGGTGATTCCCCTTCACTTGGCTTGGTCCCCTGACCACCTCTGGCCCAAGGCCAGCCTGACTATTTCTAAGCCAAGCTCTTCCTCTGTCCTGAAAGAGCCTTTCATTTTCATAAGTAGTGAGAGGGGAAACGGGTTCTGCACATGCTCAAGGGCACACTCACCATTTATTATTTTCCATTGCAGTATCACCTAATTCTGTCTGATACATGTGTGAGACAGAGACAAGAGACAGACAGAGACAGGAGACAGAGTGAAACAACAATTTTGAAAGGGGAGAAAATATTACTCCCACTAAAGCCAATCTGGTAGTCCTCCAGATGCTGTATACAGCTTCCATCTTCCCTGACCAACAGCCTTGGTCTCCTACCACTGACGGAGACCAAACATCTGGAATGCTGTTTGAAATGATGCACACATCACCTTATTCTTGTTTTGATGCTGGTTTTGTATTTTGAGGGATTATTTGTTTCCAGTTAATGATTGATTTAACACCTAGTTAGTTTTTTAAATGCTGTCATTTATTCACTTGTTTCAACTGTACTGGAAACTTCCGTAGGAAGAGGGTGTTAATAGCAAACTAAATGGAACTCAGCAGTCCTTTTCTCCTTATGTAGGAGAAAAGGGGAACGCCTCTTCTAAAATGGTGTTTGCCATCTGTACTTTTTATGAACCACTTTTGTTGAATTTGCTAGTCTTAGACTAGATTGTAACGGCACTGTGTTTTCATTGTTTAATCAGCTAGAAAGCTGCCCTTGAAGGAGTTCGACATCACTGTAAGAAATGCCAAGACTTTCAACTGTTGCCTGCTGCCATTTTGATTTCCCACAGGGCGTTGGAGCAACTCTGCTTGAGGACTTTCTGGGAAATCCATCTGGCTGTTCACAGCGATGGACAGAAAAAAACAGTCCGAGGAGGACCCCCTCAGCAGGAATCAGTAGCAACAGGAAGCAAACAATCTGTCTGTGGACACCCAACTGATGCCGAGGACTGAACCTGGGACCTGGGCGGCTGCTCTGCCACTGAACTATGCCTCCAACCCCTAAGCCCGAGAGAGCAGACTTCACACAGAACATCCTGCCCTGACTTGCATCCCACACTCCAGCAGCTCTGCTGCACAGGGCCCTGAAGGAAATCTCATTTGGCAAGAAGCCAATCTGCAGGCAAGAGGATTTCCGGTTGCAAACGGTTTCCTGCTTGCTTTTCTTGAAGAGGCAGCCTGGGAACAGGGTGGGGGTGGACGGAGGGCTGACTGTGCAACTGAGGCTTTCCCTCCACTGAGGGCCGGGAACAAGGCAAAGGTTCAGCCCTAGCATAGGTAGGATTCTAGCTGGAGCAGCCACTGTATCTTATGCAAGCATTCCAGCATCTTGTGCTCACCTACAGGGAAGATGCCAGCAATCCAGAGACATGCTGGGAATTTTACAAGCAGTTCACACCCTGCAGACTTGCATCACAGTTAACACACCCTTCCCCAAGTCCGTCCTTCTAGGTCAGGGGTTTGAAATTGCCAGGCCACTGGCCAAAGCCAGCTCAGTGGCTCTCTGGCCTGCAGTGCCTCCAGGGTTCTTCCCTAGCGGTTATACCCTCTAGATTGTTGGATAGCCCAACCGTCTAGACAGCTACAGGCTGAAGGAGGCTGCTCATGTGAAAAGAAAGTGAAAGCTGTGCATTGTCACAAGATCCATCCAAGAAGTTGGCTGTACCATGCAATTCAAAGATGGCAACTCTCCTTATCAAGTCATTTTGAAGCAGGGTTGCCTGATCCATCTTAGTATCTCGGATTGGGAAAATTATCCTATTACCAACTGCCATTGCAATGCACACCCAACTCTTCCCTCCTCGAACTGCTGCTTCTTACCAGTCCATGCACCCTTGCTATCAGATAAGCAAACAGCACACAAACAGGCAATCTTCAGACTTGCTATTAATTATAATTCAGATTTCCACGGATTTAGAGCCCAAGTGCAAATGAGAGCTCCTCTACATGAACCATTCAGCCCACCACTTTTCTAGGCTCCTTTTGTTCGAGAGAGAAAGAGTCTCTCTCAACACGGGGTATATTTCAGGGCTTTGCCTTCTGCCTTTCTGTATATTCCATGATCCACCGGGAAGCTGGCATTTTGGTGCTGCAAAATTGCAACACGCTGAACCTTCATGGCAGTTTGTTCTGCATTGGGAATTTAAGTGCAGACTTTCCTTGCTGCAAACCACCCTCTCCCCAGAGCTGTGAAAATGGCTGGAAAACACGGGAGGTTGAGAATAGTGTATAAAGGACTGGCACACTTCCATGGATTGCAAGTGCACAAGGGTAAAGAAGGTCTGAGTGGCCAAGCGGGTGCAACCAGATGCACAGTGGAGTCTCTGGGACGGAGCCAATTACCTGCCTCTTCCGTATACAGAGCTTCCATGTATCCTGAAATTCCAGATCCTGCTTGATCTTGGAAGCTTCAGCAGGGTTGGGCCTGGCTGCAGTCTGGATGTGTGACTTGATGTAAACTGCCCAGAGAGCTTTGTAGAAATGCTGTTGTGGTTGTTGTTGTTGACAACAACAACAATACTGACCTTGGCAAAGTCCCAGTCAAAGGCACTAACCGATACACCTGTTTTGCTGAAGCAAAACACTGATGCAAAGGGATCAGTACAGCCATAGCAAGGAATTACAGAAAATCTACGCACAATTTTTAAACTGCTGGGAGTTAGAAACCCCTAAGAAAGCTATTGCAAATCTCTCAGTCTACAGATGCCTTTAAGATTTTGTTGGTGTTCAGCCCCAGGCAGCTGCCACTTCAATTTCCCACAATGCTCTGGAGCAATGCTACCTTGGAGCATTCTGGGAAATTAAAATAGCGGCTGCCCAGCAATGGTTGGAAGAGTGCTTCCACTAGGTGAATCTGCCCACAACGGCAAAAGCCCAGACAAGCATGAAGCCAGCCAGCATTTCTGCCCCCGGAACTCAAGGGGAACAGGACAACTCTCCCTCAGTCCCACACTTCAGGGTCAGACAACCTGTGGCCCTTGAAATCTTTACACTTGTGACTCCCATCATCAGTATCCAGCACAGCCAGTGGTGAGGGGTCACGTGTAGGCTGAGCCATCTGGAGGGCCACAGGTTGCCTGCCCTGGCTTTATGCAAGCACCACTTTGCAGCGAAAAGAACCTGAGCGCACCAGAGTTTGGGGCTGTCAGCTTTTCCTCTGCCTGGAACCGTGTGCCAGGCTGGCCAGGATGGCTTCCCCCCAGTGCTCAGGAGATGCAACGAGGCCACACCAGTCCAGCGTCCACTCGCCTTGCACCTGTGAGAAGCTGCCCAGGAGCCTCTGCTGGACAAGCCACGACAGCGGCTGACCAGGTGGGGGCTGCTTGGGCTTGGTGCCAGGACGTGCCCCAGCTTGACAGGAGGGTGGGATCTGGACTTCCCTGCTTCCCGCAAAGCAGCCGGGCACAGCATCCCACCCTCCGGTTCCGGACCCCTCGGTACCGCTGCAGGGGGTCCCCCCACTGAAGGCCTCCTGGCAGGGCAAGCTCTGCACCAGCTCACAGATCAGGAGGTGCTCAGCCTCCAGCGCCCACTTGGCGGTTTGGATTCGGGTTGCTACGGCAACCTGTCACAGGGAAGACTTGCTTCCCCCCCAGATAATTTGACTTGTTGCCATGCCGACAGAGGGAGGGACACAGAAGCAGAAACTTCACCAAATGTTCTTGTCTCCTGCCACCGCCCCCTCCCTCCGCACAGGCTGTGTGTGTGTGGGGGGGCAGCGGG